TCTATTAGTATAAAATAAAGTGCAAACCGCGGCGGCGACAGCGCGACGCACCGCCGCTGTTCCGCCACCTCGCCACGCCGACCCTCGCCTAAGTGAATTCCGTTAATTAAACCATAAAAACTTCGATAAATTAAGATCCAGCCAATTCCCCTCTCTAATATAGTCATAGCTCGAAAGATTTCAGATGCAAACGACACCGATACAGGCGGTCGGGCGGTCGGTGGGGAATAGCGACATAAATTGTGTCGTGTTCCACCAATCCAACGTTTGTTTGTGGCTTCGTTTATTTTTACTTATTGTACCGACTTGCAATAAAGCCAAACTTTACTTCAAAAACTACAAAATAATAATACTAATAACTATATTTGACACTTAGTTCATTGGCGATGTTAGAAAGTACATACATACCTTTGACGATATTTCTAATAATTTTTTGTTAGTAGACAGTTTCAGTCTATAGCACCGACTGTGGTAATGTGGTACGTGATTTTTACGAATATTTTTTAATAAGAAATAGAGATGTGATTAGAGATTTTACGAAATTCGATAAAATAATAACGTTATTTACCATACTGATTTATTACCTAACTTATAATAGATATTTGATTTGCCAACAACTAAAACAACAAAATTCTAAAACAACAGGTATATTTCTATCCCACATATTTCACATGACAGAGAAACTCCATACGATAATTAGGTACAGTAAAACAATCCAAGTGATAAGCGATAAGGCGCACCCAACAGCCAGTATGGAAATTTTCATTAGTGAAATTTGAGGTTAAGTGCTGTGTGTGTTTTAGGTAATTGGTCCGTGTATGCCCCGCACCCGCCAGAGCTTATACCCCTATACTTTTTGTGTTGGTGTTCTATCAATTTCGCTTGAACGTTTTTGGGCTTTGGTAACTTCATTATGATGTGCAAATGAATACGTGATTTTGTTTCACTAACTAATATATTTATATAACCATTTTGAAACGTGTGGTACCAAGCTTGTAAAAAATAAGTAAAGCTTGAAGTTGCATTCCAGAAAGTCAAGCTCACTCTAGAAATTAGTGTTCTTAATATTAAAATATTGCTTGAGAATACACGGTTCTACTCCCATCCCTTTTATACATTTCTCATTGACAACATTTCGCGAATAAACAAGCAGGTAAAACTGTTTCAAGATAAAGTTCAAAGTTAAACATTTAAAAAAATACTAAAGAGCTCAGTGCACTAAACAGTATTCGAGTGAAGTTGAAAAGCGTTCTCAAACAGAAGTTTGTGCTGAAAGCAAATCCCAGTGAACATCTGTCGTGAAAAGCCAACATTTTCCACAAATAAAATCTTTTTTGAGAACATTTGGTCGTCTGCACAGTGCCAACAGGTGGCTTCTTTTATCAATTTGAATGTAATTGCCGTTTGCCTTTTTGTCGAGTCTGGTCACTCCTAATTTAGACAAGACGAATGTTTAGTATCTTTGTGAAGGTGAGTGCCGACATTGTGATTCCATTTTGCATACAATTTTGTGTTAGAAAAAACAAGAATGATAGCTTAATATAGATCGCAATATTCATAGCACCGGGAACCTTTTGAAATTTAAAATAATGATTTCTTTATTTCATATAAAAGCATTTCCATGCAGTATACAACGCGAAACATGTGTATTTTCCAAAACAGTTTACAAACAGACAGGTATAAATATACAATAGTGTTACGAAATTTGTGAGCTTTACAGCACACATGGAGCAAATACACATCAAAATTTTCGGACATACAACATACCGAAATGGCACTTCAAAGTAGTTCCACCATGTGTTAGTCGGAATACTTCAACGCGTGTAATGGCCACGTTTGCAGCTAAAAGCCACTGAGCTAGTGTCAATCAACCGGGCAAGCCACTTCGCTCTATTCCGTACTACACAACGTTATCTGCTGAAAGTACGCGGACACATCGCTCTATAATCCCATCGTATGCTACGCAACAGAACCGTTTGGCATCATACGAATATCGATATTACTCCATTCACGCAAAGGTGATAGTGGCGTGAAGTGATTCACCACATACCACAGTTATGTGGTGAGGCAAGTTTATTCCGACGCCCGAAGCGGACGCCGGGCACAAGACGCGTCAAGATTTAAGTAGTTTACGCCAGGAAGTCCGATGCCGTCTTGTTTGGTCTGTGAAACTCGCTAACTCGATATTGCACGCTCACTTTATGCCCAAGTTTAATGTCACGCGCTGCCACCGACTCGCGCCTTATATTCGCTGCGGGAAATATTTATTAGTTTTCTCCTTGGTGCAACAAGTCCAACTTTCGGTGTTCTTTCGGTGTTCTTCCTTTGGTTTTCAATAACTTCACCATTGAACTACTATAAAGCATTTCAACACTCAAACTGTATTCGTGGAGTGAGTATATTTTCGTGAACATTGTTTCTCTGTGGACAAACTTTTGTAAGTTTTTGCTATTGTTTTATATAAATGATAACCGAAATAGCTGCTTATTTTACTCACGAAATAAGACTGGTTTTTTGTTTGAGGACACTTGTTTCGTAGGTTACATAAGACATTTTAGAAACTTGGCTAGGTAATCAAAACAAAGTTAGCTATAGCATTTCTCTTTATAAGTTTACCAACTCAATGGATTTTTATTAATATCTGACATTAACATTTGCACACGCTAAGTGCAAAGGGAACAAAGCCACTGTAAAAATATCAGCTGTTTAAAAATGCTTCATAGATATAAAATATATCTTACAATAATACGCAAAACAAGTGCTGCATCACTTACCGGCTAATAAAAATCTCCAAACAACGGAGCATTTTATGCGGTCATTAGGGTATAAAAGCGAACAGCTCTATAAGGCAGTGCTCGGTGTAAAGCGATACAGTTAAATTGCGGCGGACGCAATCTGGGAACACGGCGTAAAACAGGCATTAAGTGCCGCAGACTGCGGCCGAGATGAGCGGCCCGTCTGTTACGGTCTACGGGGCGGGAGAGGCTCGTCGAATTGTAAGGGTATTTTCGATAACTTTCTTCGAGTATCTATTGACATTTTGACATATGTTTTTTTAGAAAAGAAAGAAACATATTACTTTAAAATATCCTTTAAATACGTAAATTACGAATTAATTGTCCATGTGGTGACGGATTAAGAATACAGAGTGTTACCACCCCTATTTATCCTGTGGGTGTCGTAAGAGATGACTAAGGGAGCAAACGGGCGGAATCAGACCGACTAAAACCACACTGTGTGCTACTGCGCCTGTTATAGGAGAGATCCGGAAACCACTATTATTAAGACAGCCGGACCCCTCCTAGCGCCGGCGCGCAATGGCGCGGGCACCATCTTCAGGTACATTCTCCATTTAGGTGATATCTGGCACACGCGGACGTCACCTCCTCGCGGCTGGCCGTTATGGCAGGTGGAGGGGAAAGCCCGTCCCGTCCACCCGCGGCCACACTCAAGGCGGCATGAGGCGGTGGTTAGCGCGCCTTCGCCGCCCGGTTCGCCGGCGACGAATTGGGTCCGAGTGGAGGTTGTCCTTCGGGGCCCTCTCCGCCGCCTCCTTCTGCGAGATGACATCTTCGCAGAAGGATGCCACCGCGGTGAAACATCTTTCACTACCGGCCATGGAGCGTATGACGGCCGGTAGCGAGAGATCCTTTCCGATGACTCCAATGAGGAGTCATAGCTGCGGCGCTCAAGCCGGGCAAATTGCCAGCGTGTCCTGAGCTGAGTCCTCGCTGCAATCGCAGTGGTGACAGGCGAGACTCAATTCCCTTCTAGCGACCGAGTGCCGGTACTTCCCTAAGCAGCCGTGCCCGGAAAGGACCAGCGTCAGCCGGAAGAAGCGTTTTGTAAATAACTGTTCAATTATTTTTTCGTTAGCATAACGATAATTAAAATAAACGATTTTGACGAGTTTATATTAGTTTGCAAGATATACACGTATTCTTAAACAAGCTACTTTTTTAAAAGATAAATATATGACACCATTGGAAAATGTATCGCAGACACACGTGATATACTCATTTATCTAGATGAAGAACAATTTTATCTAAGAATAGTACAAACACTTGTCTTATACAGACACATTCTCCAAGCGTACACCGATATCGGAGTCAATCGCAACAAAAAATTAGTCATCGGGTTCAAATTACAAGTGTATTGATCCTAGACGCATTCAGTTATGATGCAGGAAATGGGTGCTCTAGACAGAGGTCGTTAAGCGCCAATAACATTATGAGCCCATTCGGTGGCAGCATCGTACTACCCTCACACTCGTAAGGCAAGTGGGGATTTGGCAGATATTCACAAAGTTTCAAAGTAAACCTCATAGTGCATGAGATGAGCTTAGTTTACTATTTTGTATACTCGTCGTTTAGTCTGGCTGTGTTTTTAACTAACTTTAAACGAAATGCAAATTATAAACATCGTTTTAGTTTTTAGTATGATGGTATATACAGTTAAAGTTTTAGCTTTTAAAACTTATGAGTAAGTATAGAAAACTTAATTTACGCCGACCCTTTTTAAAACCTGGATTATATTATTAGAATCATAATAGAAGTATTTGTTTTGTCCTTAAGTACACTTCACGTCAACAATATTTCAATTTCACAAGAACTGGCTAATGACACGTGCAAAACACCGTCCACGTTGTAAAAGCACGTGCTCAACTAAATAGAGAAAATAAACCGCTAACGTGAAGTCGACAACCTGCACTTGTCTTAACCTGAGAAATAAAACAGTACGTGATATCGCTTGTTGGTACATTTGCTGAGTGTTGCCAGACAAATATTTTTCCATTTGCACAATTCGACTTCCAACACAGACTCTCCCTAAATCGAGGATAAGGAACGTGTATCTGCGGACACTTTTGTTTTGCTGGTTATTGTAGCAAATGTGTACTTATTGGCAAATCGCGTTTGTAAACAGTAGAACTCAACGAATTTAGATTTGCCCTCTGAAGATATCAAAGTAAATTTTTGTATGTTACATTAGCGGTGTTGTGGATGATCCACAAAAGCGGGCACATATCGATCAGCAAACAGCGAGGAGTAGCCAGGTGTCCCCCGCGCAAACACTTCACCCTCCGCGGGCCCACTCGCGCGCCGCCCCGGGCTCTACATCAAAATGACGACGGAAATCCCATATTGCCTACATCGGGGACGGAAGCACGATTTTATAAGTTAAGGGATTTGTGTCAATATTGTACTAGGATACGACGGACCCATCGCGAGTTACAATTCTTCGGTTACATCCGCGCGCATCCTCTAGCCTGGCGACGCAATTCAAAACTTTATTAATTTAAGAAGACTCCATGTAATGTTAGCTGAGTTGCGAACACATTTGTTAATCGTTCGCCAAGTTCCCGCCGAATTGTTAAGTAAGTATTTTTGTTAGGCCCGCTTGTTCAAAATTCGTAAGTGTATCCTGATTTATGGAATACATTTAAATCGTTCACGCTTCGCGTCTCCGTTTAGAAAAATACGAAAATATGATCGCGGAGAGAAACTTTGCCGCGAAGTTCGCTGTTTGGATAGCTGCTGATACCAGTAAGCGTTCCACACTAGTTACATACGCACATCTTGTTACGTATTGTACTATGCGGCTGGAGACGATCCACTTCTTCATACTAAGAAAATGAGTTGTTCTTTTGATTTTATTTCTAATATAGAACTATAAAATGTATGTTAATTTTTTTATTATTCACTTCACTATCGTTTAAACTATTTTATGTTTATTTGGTCTCGTTAATAGACTGTAAGCCTTCCTCAAAACGATATAAATATAACTGTTCTAAGAAGAAACTGAGCAAAATACATTTAAATCCAATGTTAATATGCCTACAATCTTTAATTCATTTCTAAAACAAATTCTAAAACGTACTCTTCCGCGTTTGCTCACTTGAGCACAACATGTTCATTAAAATCTTAATAACATCGCATCTCAATTACAGACTTGTACCTGAGCAAGGCTTGCGTTTACGTAATATTTAGCAGCGGTACAATCTGAAATGCGAGCAGCTACGGTCGCGGTTAATTAAATATGTTAAAGGGTGTTGTTTAAGACAAAGAAAGCGGGGTCGTGGCAACGGAGCCAAAGGAGGTTCCTGCGACCTGCACCTTTACCCACAGCCCACAAAAGCAGCGCACGTTACCTCATACTCTTTGTTTTGTAGGTTTTCATGTATAATAAATAGTTACGGCTGCTAATGTAATATTCACTTAGAATACGGTTGTGTGCATGAAACATTCGAAGTGCAGATAATTAAAGTTACTTTAAATTGTCTATCTCTATTACAATAATTACTGTCGATTAGTTCCTGAACACTTCGAGGTGTAGAAAGGACCGTAGTGACGGATAAATACATAGTTTTTTTTAAAGATGATATTCCAAAAAGGTTTACTTTTTTAGTGACTTGGGTCACATTAAAGTAAAGTATACTTTCATATACTTTTCCATACTTTCATAATTTCTTGTTTATTTATAGTCAAACGGCTCTAATTTGTAACACGTTGTTAAAGTTTGTTCTATAACTGAAATTAAACGATGTCCAATAATTGAGGAACGATTTTGATTTTATATTATCATAAAAAATTACGAAGCAATTAGTTTAATTTTAAACGAACTTGAATGAAAACCCGAAGTGAACATTCGCAAGCTTTGATCGCCCTATATATCGTCTTGCGAAACAAAGTTAACTGGCAACCGCGACACACCGGGCTTCCTAAATTATTCTTCAAAAGATTTTATAATTTGTTCTCTCGTCTTGAGACTCCTTTTACCAGTAACGGGAACCGCAGGCACGAACACATGCGGTCCCGGATCCCTCGCAAAGACCTATTACAGGCCTACAAACACCCTCACTGGGTGTTTTATACGTCGCGTCGCACGACGTTCGCCTTTTGGTTGTCTAACATTACACTGTAAATGGTATTCTAACGTTGATTATTATGGTTCAAAATGCATTAATGTGTTCTCGCACATGTTAGAATGTATTCGAGCCGCGTGCGCCCTTTGGGTAATGTTACGTAATAGGTAAGAGGCTGTGATTTTGTCAAAGGTAAGAAAATTGGTTACGTTAGTGGGTAATCTCGGCTACCGAGATAAATGTGAATTATGTTTCTGTGAATTAAGCTGTGATATTTTATACTGACGTGATGTGATTATTAAAGTTTCAAACTTACTTTCAATATGTACACTTTCCACACTCGAGCAATTATTATATTCATGGACATGTATCCATGAATATAATAATTGGTTGAGTGTTTTAAGCTTACATAAATAAATTTGGAAACGAAATTATTTGAACTGAAAAATGAAGTTGTTTTCGGAAAAAGAAAATTCATTTTAATTTTGTCTTGTACTAATATTTATGTACATACATCCTAAATAGACACCCTGAGTAATGAGTGGGATTTGCAAGGTACGTTTATAATACTACATCATCATCATCAACAACCTTAACTAGTCCACTGCCCGACAAAGGCCTCTCCTTAGGAAGGAAGTTTTGGCATACTGTACCATGCTGGCCAGACGGGTTGGTATAGGGTTTGTTTTAAGTTTTCATTCTCTTGTTTATATCACATTAACGCCAAATAGCAAGACTATTTTAAACCAGTCCTGAAAAATGTTTACCAAATTTGTACATGTAAAGGTACATGAGGCAAGAGCTCTTCCTACAATTAACAAATCTGTAATGATTAAATTAAGTGTTCGTTATTTTCTTTATATCACCACTCAAACATATTTATTTTGCACATGTTCAGCTAGCCTTGTTTATGTAATTATCGGAACCACCAGATAATAACTAGTTTTTTCTTCAAAGAGCCCTCCTACGTATATCATAATAATAGAGAGGACTGAGAACGTGGGGTGTGAGGGTAAAATTTGGGGAAGTGTAGTATTTATATCATGCTGTTTGAAGAAGTAATTTGTCTTTAAATACAGGACAACTAAATAATTACATTAATATACATTCTATAAACCTAGATTCATAAACTCATTATTCCTCGTCATCTTATTAATTCGAACATAAGTGGCAACTTATGACATAGAAGCAAAAAGGTAAATTTTTTCACTGAAGTAATCTTTTAAAAAGCTATTGGTGAATGCAAAAGATAAATACAAAATAAATCTGGCACAAGTCAATCTTAATCAATTCGAAGTTGTCCTAAATCATAATAATTACGTGAGATTCACGACCCTCTGATCGGAAACTAGAGTTAAAACGTACGTACTATAGTAAAAATGCTGTTAAAGTTGCGCTTCGATCAAGAACAGTCATGTACATATGTATCTTAAGAGTTAACGTTAATAGAAGTAACAACTAATTGTATGAGGAGGATTTACATGACTTCGCAGTAATTAAATATACTTTTTAATAATTTTTATTCTCTTAAGAGAGCCGTGTGTGGCCAAGCAGTCTTACGTGTTAGTCATCGCCGCTCATTGTTCACACCATTTAATATTGCACGCTTGATTTAGTATAAAAAAAGTAACAAATGTAAACACAGACTCGGTTTATTTCGAAACCAACTTAAAGTGTAAAAACAATGTGGTTATTTACCGTCATTATTATCATCAACAGCCTTTAATAGTCCACTGCTGGACATAGGCCTTCTCCTATTGACCGTATTACGCACAAAATCTTTCTGACAAGATCAAAGAAACGAAGAAGAATTAAATATTAAATTTTTCATTAGAATAACCGCGGCGGCGATACTTCATTTCTCTAATGACATGCAAGGACCCTCAAACGCACTTCACTTGCGTGACCTAATTTAAGGCACGTTATTTTGCTCACTTAATTTACCTCATTCGTGTTTACTCTACCAATGAGGAACCTTTGGCAAGAAGATTTTTTGTTTTTCTTCTGCGTAAACTTAATTGAGTTGGCGAGGGGCGCGATGGTGCACCGCAGCGCCATCACCCAAAGTCGTGGAACGCTCCAACCTCTATAAACATTTATTGTCGTTCTACATCTCACTAAGTTCACTTTTACAGAGTTTTATGTCCGAAAAATTTACGCGAGGAACGTTACTTTGCGGCCTTTATTGCGACGGTGGTATGCCGCGGGCACACTGCCGTAATTGAATGTAATTTGGTTAGCTTCTTTCGTTTACTGTTGTAGAATAAAATTTAACGTCTTATTTACTGTCACAAGCAACAATATCTGTGCACCGGGGCTTTCTTTTCTCACGTACAACTGTGCAATAAAACGGTTCTAATAAAGACGAAGCAATCACTACATATTTTAGTGTACTTTATCAAATAAAATGTAATAGACATTATTGTGACGATATTTATTTAGACAAGCAAATTTATCACCAATAAAAATGGATGCGACGGTATAGCGAACGGCACCCGAGCGACGAATGAGTTTAATTAATTTGAACGAGACCTGTGTAAGTACGAACCCAATTCAATTAGTAGTTAAAAAATAAATAGCATATTGATTCGGCTCTGACTTATTGAACAACGGTACGTATCGCAGTTAATGGAATGCCCATATTTTGCAGTCACTTTTGTTATAAATGATAAAAATAAACGAAGATGAATCTGCCGAGTTATTTTCATTTTGCAATACTTCTGCTGTATGGTCAAGATAGAAAAAAAGAACGAAGTATGCCGACACTAATTGATGGATTTTGAAGAGCACTTCTGCTTCAATTATTCACTGAATACTTTTCCCTATTATTTGTACATATGAATTAAAAATTAACATTATAAAATGCGTGATTTTTTCTTTTTGTTAAATTATGCCTGTAGTTGTCGTTAACCAGTTAATTGATTTCTTCACTCAAAAATATGCTCTACCCTGTTTTCTTTAAAATCTCAACTTCTTAACGAGATTTTATATTTATTTAAATGAGACACACATAAAGTACAAGTAAATGATAAGACATTCCAGATAGACAGACTGTTTAATATTTTGATACACATGAAGTGTATTAAAAAGTGAATAATCGATAAGTTATTACCTAGGAGCGTAGGTCAAGTCATGACACTCGGTAATAAGGCTTTTAAAATGCGCCCATTCGTTATGAAAATGTAAACGAATGTCGAATATTTATTTGCTCGTTAAAAATAATAGAGTTGTACTCTATTTCCTTACAATGATGTGTCTATTGACAGGGATCACGCAGTATGGGACGTAAATCGATGTAATTACTTTATTATAATTCAACTTGTAGTTACAGTTTTTTTTTGCAACTACCAAACTAAGACTTTCAAAAGATAATTTTTATGCTGTGAGTTTTTTATTTCGATCTAAAGTGAAATTGACTTCAAACATGCTGCT